GATATACTACATTATTTTTCGTGAAAGCATACATCTTGCTCCAGCAGATATACCTCAACACAAATGTCCACGCATTATATGAATATCCATACTTGGACTTCGACGACTATTGTTATGTCTTGATAGACGAGACCCCAGAAGATCCTACGTAGGGCCCGAACCTAGGCCAGTACTCCACGTCATTTTGCCAGAGGCAGTTTGCCGAACCTTATGAAGAGACCGAACTGGTATGGAAAGCTGAAGTTGACCCCCTATATAGAGCCAAATCCTCATGGTGGGAGAGGCTATACGGGGATTGACAAGAGATATTTTATGTAATAAGTAATAAGTGATTGATGTGACAATTAACTACTACTGCCACCTTACCTTGCCATTAGGTCAAGTCTAACCCTTTTGTCAGAGTTATGGACAACAAAACGGTATTAGCATTAAATACTTATGATTTATTAATGTCATTGACAAGAGGCTTCAACCGTATGGATGAGGCCACATATATTTTCCTGACATGGCCAATATTTATCCTATTCTACTGTAAAAAAAAAAAAAAAAAAAAAACTCAGACACCATGTCATTCCAAATGTAATACACGTTTAAACTCTCAAACTACAACTTAGTTATCCTTCTTGTTATCATCAAAAATTTCAACAAAGTCGACCCCCTTTTTATATTGGAGGTTTGCGTCTAAAGCACCTCCCACACCCATTCATCCTACAACAACTAATTTGACCATAGGATTGAGCGCGACAAACCACCATCAGAGGAAGCCATGTGTGGCTAACTATTTGTCCAAGTGTGCAGGAATGAGACTTACGTGGGCCCGAAGGGCCTATGGATCTGTTGGCCACATTGGAGGTACAAAATTTGAGATCAACAAATTATAGGACCATCTACTCCAAGAGAGCATCTCCAAGTTTTGGTGAATTGCTAAGCCCTTATTTGATGCCCATTATTTCATCAAAATAAGTTTTGTAGTAGAAAATTTTTGGAGAATGTGTAGTTAAAAAGTTGAAAATTTTTTTGGATTTACGTAAAAAAATACTTTATTGTGAGAATGTATGGTTGCCAATAAATTTTGAAATAAAGGAAATCAAACAGAAATTTGCATATGAGCAAACTAAATGATATCTGAAAAATTCATCTCCGAAGTGACTCAACTGTCAAGCTAATACAACATTGTGAAACGCTTCATCTAGATTCAGAAGCCTAATTACACAAAGTGACTCAACAATAGTTAAATTTCTTTTTTATTATTATCTTTGGGTATTCAATATTTTCATATGCATCATTAGATGAAGTTTTTCATTTTTATTTTTAAAATAAAAGACACGTAGGCAGTCGTATAAGAGGTAGATAGAACTCATTGGATATTAATATTTAAATTGAGATATCAATCTCACATAAAAAGCAAGTCTTCAACTTTGTTATGTTGTAGCTGCCTCATAATTCTTGGCCCTGTTGGTTATTGTGGGCCTGTGTTGCAAAGTGTCTTCTGGCCCAGAATCGTTTCTTATTGGGCTCTGCTATCTGGTCTTATCTTTGGCCAGATCCTCACCGTTGATTGGAATCGCTTGATCTTCTATTAAGTGTCTCTTGAAGCTTCATTTTGGGCGAGGCGGTTGGATAACTTTGGGAGATATTCTCTTTGTGTGATTAGGGTTATCTCTTTTCTTTCTGTCGTTTGAAAGTATGAGTGATTTTCCTTGTAATTCCTTAGTGGTAAGGCAGTAACTATGTTTGATGTATATTCTATAAAATTGTGTATAATTTTTGAGTGATTCCTGAGGAGAGAGAAACTTTGAAGAAATCTCTGATTTCTTCATACATTGTAACTGTTCTTGGCGATCTTAGTGGAACTAGAGCTAAATCCCTTTGTGTGGATGCTCAATGGGTGAGTAGGCCTTTGGCTGAACATCCGGACCCTTTTGGGCGAAAAATCTTTTGTGTTGATTCTTTATTTCTCGCACTATTACTTAGTTTTTGTGTTCTTTGTGAACTCTGGGACCAACAAACTTATATACATTTCGATGACAAAATCCATAAAATGCATTAAAGATGTTCTAAGAATCTAAGATATCGCAATTCACTTCAAAAGATATTCTTAAAGTAAAATTGATATGTCCCCTCATCTTGAAAAGAAACATAAACTATGTTACTGCTGTTAAGTAGAATGTAAATGTTACTTTTCATTAAAAAGAAAAGCAGGAGGACTTACAAATCCACACCAATTATAGTTCAAAGCTGACTATCATTTCCAATTTATACAAATAAATTGAAGTTCTTTTCATTCATTATTCATTCTTGTCGCGGGCCATAATTCAACAACTTTATACAATGAATCAATCTTAGTTTATGGAATGCCCCTTCTGTCAAATAATGATGAGAGTTCGAAACGTTGTAGGTTAAGGTTCTGAAAATTCGGAAATGACTTGTTCCAAAAAAACAGAAATCATTTTTAATAGTATTGCTTGGTGGGATCTGTAGCCTTGTTGGTTAAATATCATCCATGGAAAAAAACACTTGTTTTTTGGCTGTACCGACCCTATCTCAGGCATCTTTTGAGGCTGTTCTGGAATTCTTTTTAATTTGACTAATCAAATATATAATATGGCCCAGTTGAAATCAGATGAAAAGGTTTATATATATTGATTGCATCGAATTTTACTTATTTTACTTTTGCATTATCATGACATGACGCGAGCATGAAAAAAGTCCAAGATTCAGCTGTTGTTTGGGCTCCATTAAAATCAAATTTTGAGAAAAAGTGTCTTTTTGAAATAGTAATTTTTTATTGAACGTGTAATTAAAAAAAGAAATAAACGTTTTGATTTTATGTATAATATTATTTTATTGAAAAATTTGTTTTTAAAAAAAAGAGAAAGAGAAACTCATTTTAAATAAAATAGAGCTCAAACAGGAACCAGTCTTTCTTTTTTAGGTTTAAAATCACTTATTTTAACATTTTCATCCAATGGGATCAGATTTTAATGTTTCTTCTTATGCTACACTGCGACGTGATAGCAGCATAGAAGGGATTCAAGAATAAGTTTTTTTTTATTCGGTATAAATAACTTATTTTGACCTTTTTACCCCCATATTGTTTGATGGATTGGAACATATTTTATTGGTTTTTTTATTATTATTTTTTTCCCGGTATCTCGACTTGACACGAACGTAAAAGTGATTCAAGAATCGGTTTTCTTTTTATTAGAGCTAAAATCACTTACGTTGGCTCTTTTTACCATATATTATAGTATAAATTGGATCCGATTTTACCCTTCTTTATTTTGTAGTACCTCAACCTGATATAAGTGTATAATGAATTCAAGAATTAGTTCATTTAGTTGGGGCTTTGGCTTTTCTTTTTTTTTTTTTGCCCTCATTGCAGGGTGGATATATATAATATATATACACACACAGCAAAACTGTTTTAACATGTGGTCTAATGGGGCACATGTCTGGGAACCCAACATTAACTTTGAAAGCTAGTGATCAAATCACTGTTAATAATGAACAATGAATACAGTTAACATATATAATAATTAGGTTTGTTGATCAAATTGTCCTAATTTTAGGTTTTGGTGTCATATATAATTGACAGAGAGAGGAGAAAAAATTGTAATTACTAACCTTTTTTAGGTAAGTACGTAGAAAGTGAAAACTCCCGACGATTTCTTGAAATCAAACTGATCAAGAGAGGTATAGAATAGAAGAACTTAATTCTCAGGTCCAATTGAATGCACAGAATTGTCAAATCCATTGCCCAATCAAAAACCCAGCAAACCATTCATCATATGACACTAAGGTGTACAAATTAGGTTTAAAAGCTAGCGGCTATGAAAGATAAGACGCTATGAAACAACGTTAACGCCATGTTTCGTTATGTAGTTTAGGCCTTGTGTGACTATTAAAAGCTGTCTCAAAATGTTATTCATAAGGGATTATCGAAATTTGATATTTCATCTTAAAACGTCGAAAGCTCTTATGTTTTAAGTGAAATGAAATTTTATCGTCAATATAAAGATGGAAGATTGTATCTCATTAGATAATGCTTAAGTCGAAATTTGAGTGCTCGTTTGAATTTTAGACAAATTGAATTGTTCACATTCCTCGATGTATTAGTCCATATACCGCCACCATCATCATTGTTTATTATTTTAATATTTAAGTGATATGATATTTTTCCTTTCCAAGTATTTTATAATTTATTCACACTTTGATTGTGTATATGCTTTTGACAATTTTGTTTTTCATTTTTATCAAATAAAATACATAACTATTTTACACACAGTGGCTACACAATAAGGCCATGGACTAACATTGCAGTGTCTCCCAAAAGATTTTATTTTGGATAAGTTGATGACACAAAAGAGATATATAAATATATTAGAAAAATCAACCATGCTTGGTGTACATGACATTCTATCATTCGACAATTTAAAAAAAAAAATTGTTTTTTCGTTTAATAGTTTTTTGATTACACACTTTCTGTTAACAAAGGGTGGCAAAATTCAACTAGCTTGAGCTATTGCATGTTCTCCTTGCAAAAATTTGTATAGACTCACCTACCCCTCAACCCCACCAAAATTACGACACCTAAACCCTAGCAAATGACCCACGAATTTCCCACGGTTTCACTTTCTTTGAGAAATAACTTCCCCTTATAAACCAAGCATTACTTCACTTCTAATGCTTCAACTGTCCACCTTAATAGATAAAGATACATATATATCAGTAGATTTTATTCATATCACTATTTGTAGTTTTGTACAACTATACATACATACATATATACACAGATAATTACACTTTTATATATGGCTAATCCTTCACATCAGCCTAATTACATGATCCAATTAGTAGACCAATATCCACAGCCTAGCCAAGAACCCTTCAACTCTCCTCCACCCCCTCCATTATGTTCTAATGTTCACCAAGGGGACCAATCAAGAAGTCGAAAATTACCATCTATTAGAAAAGTACAAACCAATAAGGCATCTCGAATGGGCTCCACTTCGTCCGGTGGGTCAACGAGTCGCCCTAGTGGTGGAAAACACCCAATGTACCGCGGTATAAGGAGCCGAAGTGGCAAATGGGTTTCAGAGATTCGAGAACCGCGTAAAACGACACGTATATGGCTCGGGACTTACCCAACTCCGGAGATGGCAGCTGCGGCTTATGACGTGGCGGCATTAGCCCTAAAGGGGAATGATACTATATTGAACTTCCCGTATAATATTAGCTCATATCAGGTCCCTGTCTCTCCTTCGGCGTCTGATATTCAACGAGCAGCAGCCTCTGCAGCTGAGTTAATGAATCCAGAGACTACGAAGGAGGTGGCAGTTGATGAGCCGGGAAATGTTATTGATTCTGCTAACGCACAGATTGTCACTAGTGGAAATGATTTTATAGATGAGGAGGCACTGTTTGATATGCCTAATTTGCTGGTGGATATGGCGGAAGGAATGCTGCTCAGCCCACCAAGAATGCTGTCAGATGACTCGTCGGGAAGTTTGAATACCGAAAGTCTATGGAGTTACTTTTAAAATCCATTTTGTGCTGCCTTAACATATAATAGACAAGTAATTTGCTCATCACAAAATAAATCAAGAGGGGAAGAGAATGTAATCACACATTCATCTCTGCAGTGAGAACGAAAGAAATAGACAGAATTATGGCTCTACCAGAAATCGGCTCGACCTCGTACTCTAGTTTGGTAGTTTCCACAGCGTGTCCAATGTTGAACCTCGTCTTCTTTTACCCTTTTGTACAATGGTAAACCGAAGCAGCAGCTTTTAGTATTTCTTCTTTCTGCCTATTTGAACAAGGAATTATTCCTTTTATTTGGTTTTTCTATGCATATGGAAATTTTACATCATTATCGAGTCAAAATGGCTAAGGGGTATGAATGAAGCAGGTTAAATAAAGGCTAGGCAAAAAGGGCTATTTATTTTAATGATATCACGTCAGACCATAAATTTCTGCTAAAATCTTGAGCCTCTCTGAAAACTAAATTAGATATTTTCTAGTCAAAACAAATATTCTCTCGGGTTTCTTTCAAATGATCAAGCAAAAATCTATGTCTTAGCTTGAAAGTTTCACCATCAAGATCGAGCAGTAATGCTATTCATACCCTTTGCCTATTAGGTAGTCTACATATGTATTAGATCGTCCTAGTATTTATATTCCTTTTTTGTTTAATTGTCTTCTTCATTATAGCAATACCATGCAGCATAAATAGAGAGGAATCGCTATAAATCACGTGTTCTTTATATGATTTAATTTTCTTTATTTTGCTGTTCTTGATAGTATAAAATTAGACGTTATCGGCCCTAGCAATCCAGCCCCACTTAAGACTGTTAGAGACAGTGGACAACCTATACTTTACCTTAGATTGCACCCGACAATTCCTTCACGTTGGCGCCCCGCACATGTCGAACATTATATATGCACAATGAAGGCATTCAACAATAAGGGTACAAGTTAATTTGAAGACATAATAATCGGCAAAAATGATAAAAGTAAAATAAAAATCGCGAGTCTGACTCGATAAGATCAGCCACAGACATTTGGCCAGATCGCAATACAGCGTTTATGAGCTCATTTGACATGATTTCTATTGTTATTTCTATCGTTTTGAATGGACTTCTATTTTTGCTTCCGTTATTTGTACTCAACTTCCTTTAAATGATCTTTTAATAACACAAAGTATTTTCAATCAATTATCCAAACATATTAATAAATAATTTCTTATTCAGAAAATAAACGACACAACATGACACAATGAATGTCATTTCTAAATAAAATAATTTAAATGACCTTGTAGAAACGTTATTATAAAAGTATGTAAGTTAATGTTTATAAATTCAACATTTGATTTTTTAAAAAAAAGATAAATATAATTATTAAATATTAATAATAAAATCTTATCCCATCCATAATGTAATCTTGCAAAATCATTCATAATAAATGAATAAATGCTCAAATAAAAATTTACTCACATAGTTTGCATCCTAATACAAACTTGGAATGAGGTTCGAGTTTGTGATGTTTTCAAAATTTCTCAAAGAATCCTGTTTTAATCCCCAAAAAGAGACAGTTTTTGTGTTTTGAATTAATTTTGAATTTTGTATTTTGATTGTCCATTTTGAGATTATTGAAAATATGTTCTTTTTGGCATTTTGAAAAATTGGTTTGAAAACACCCAAAACGCTTTTTGAAAATTTTGACTTGATTATAACTGAAAACACTCAAAACGACAAATTTGTCATTTTGGATTTTCTTTGTAAATTTTTAATTTGTTTTAAAAAAACGCGTTTTCAAAAATAGGAAAGAAAACGCGTTTTCACTATTTTGGAAAATCGAAAATAGAAAACGACTTAAAAATGGTAAAGAGAACATACCTTTATATTTGCAATAAGGAGGGGAGTTTTCAAACTGTAGAAGCAAAGATGGAATAAAAATAAGCATAATTACAACTTTTATTATCTTTATGAGAATATTTACAACCTAGTTTACTCACACGAGAATTAAATTAAGGAAAATGCTCTTATGTCAAATCTGTAAAAGGCCTGACATTGTTGAGCACTCACATGAGGTGAGGACAAAATTAGGGGTTTTTCTCTGTGTTTTTGTGTTTTGAATTAATTTTGAATTTTGTGTTTTGATTGTCCATTTTGAGATTATTGAAAATATGTTCTTTTTAGCACTTTGAAAAATTGTTTTAAAAACACCCAAAATGCTTTTTGAAAATTTTGACTTGATTATAACTGAAAACACTCAAAACGACAAATTTGTCGTTTTGGATTTTCTTTGTAAATTTTTAATTTGTTTTAAAAAAACGCGTTTTCGAAAATAGGAAAGAGAACGCGTTTTCACTATTTTGAAAAATCGAAAATAGAAAACGGTTTGAAAATGGTAAAGAGAACAGACCTTTATATTTGCAATAAGGAGTGGAGTTTTCAAACTATAGAAGCAAAGATGGAATAAAAATAAGCATAATTACAACTTTTATTATATTTATGAGAATATTTACAACCTAGTTTACTCACACGAGAATTAAATTAAGGAAAATGCTCTTATGCCAGGCCTGTAAAAGGCCTAGCATAGTTGAGCACTCACATGAGGTGGGTCCCCCACCTCATTAAAAAAACCCCCCCCAAATGTTAAACACTCAAATGTTAAACACCCACCCCCATCTCACAATTTGCTCTGCCAAACTTTTTACAGGCCTGACAGAGCAGCATGGTCCTTAAATTAATATTAGTAAGTAAGGGGAGATTTAGACGGTTGAAAAGCATATGGTAGGTAGAGGTCGGCCATGGCCCATTGGACATCATAAGCTGTTTTCAATCTTTGCTTTGTCAACTTTTGATTCATGAAATCAAAATGAAAAAAGGTTGTTTTTCTAACGTGGCTTTTTGTCTGATACAGAAGAATGTCATAAGTATAAAAAATTTAGTCGAAATTCACAGGTGATTTTGACTATGAAAATACATTCATGGCCGACATACTCCTTTGCACTTCTCTTAGTGGAATGTCTCTCTCCAAATACAAATTTTTCATAAAGCATTTTGAGCATTTTCATTTTTTTCTAAGTTAATTCTAGTACCCTTGACATTCGAAACAACACTAATAAATTGAAGGCTTTTGGCATCGCACTACAATAAGTCAATTGAGCCATCAATCCCTTTAAAGCTCAAATTGATGGAGGATGTGTGGTTGAAAAAGAAAGAAAATTTACTGATGTGAGGGAAAATATTATTTTATTGAAGAATGTGTAATTGAAAATGAGCAGAAAAATGAAAATAAAAATTTTAATGTGAATCAAACAGAGGCTAAGATCGATATTTTAAACGAGACAACATCTTTCTTAAAAATGTAATAAATAAGAGTAAAATCTCACGTTGATTATATTAAAACAATAATTAACATATCTGTTTGATTCAACTAACAAATATGATTAAAATCTGAGTCTAAGTCAACAATAAATCTTAATAACATATTTCACAATACCCATGAGTTTTCAACCACACGTTTCATCTGATTTTTATCTAAATCAAATAGGGGCATAGTGGTTTAATTTGCACTCTTCGTAAATTTGACATTCTAAGATGAAATGTCAGGATTCAATAAATTTTTGGATCAAGGTATAAGTAGATTAAGATATTATTAACTTTAACATTATTTTAAGTCGAATGAATCATGGATAAATTACTGTTGGAAGACTTCAGCCAAATGTGTTTGGAATATAATAAAACTATCCACCCAAATACTTTTTTTTTCCAAAAATGGACATAAAAAGTAGATAATATGATGGAAACGAAGAATTATTTATTACAAATATTCCATTTCTGGAAGTCGACAGCATGAACTACCAAAGTGGACAAATAGTTTATGAGAATTGAATAATATAAAATTAGCGGCCTGAAATTGCATTTCTTTTGGCTGTTTTTTTAATTAAAATATCTGAACAAGCAAGAATCCAATGTTTTTGACACTTGATAATTGATACAGATATAGTTTTAGTAGTTATTAACTATTAATAATATTGATTATCATTATTCGAATATTTTACAATATTTTAAAATTGGTCCAGAGTCATAAATAAATAATTATTTTTTCTTTTCCAAAAAAAAAATTGTAACTTGAACAGAATCAGTTGGCTGTCTTAGTTCACCCGGAAATTGGTCGAACTGGTCGGTTTTTCGACTATTTTACCACTAAATTTCATCGATGTTACTACATCGTTTCCTAATTTTTCTTAGTTTAACTGATCGGTACGATTTTTATTTAGTATTTCATGGTTTTTAATATGTTGTGACAACATAAGAACCTCTAAGGGCTCACCAAAGATGTCTTCTTAAGTAGTTACCCCAATAATTATGTCCTTTAGTTTGGAAATATATGATTATTATTCCTTTATTGGATGACAGCCAATCAACTAAAATAATTCTCATAATTGAATTTCGACAATATTTGTCTGCAAAAACACTTTTTTCTGAATCACAAGAAGAATCATCGATTGCTTTGTAAGCTAAGTTAGTCGTGTTAGATTGTATATTAGTTTTAAATTTTTATTCAATAATATATTGTGTAAATAATGCAGGTATTACATTATACTAATATTCTTACCATAGACAAATGATTATTGGGGAAGCCATTAATTTTTAGGACTTAGTTCTCACATTGCAAGTGAACAATATCGTAAATTTGTATATATTTTGCGCATTTTTAATTTCATTTTACATGTTAATACTCGTGCAATTAGGATTAGGGATTAATTCCTAACATAATCAAATGACAAAAAAAAAAAAAATAAAGAAAAAGGTGTGCTTAACTTTTGTCAAGCAATAGATATTTCTCTCAATTTTAATCACAACAAAGGAAAAATGAAAAAGAAATTAAACATTGACTGATTCTTCGCTTAAATTTTGGGGAAAAAATAATAATTTTGAATCTTTAATTTTTAAAACTTTTAATTTTTCTTTTTCATGTCTTCTAGTGGTTGAGTGGTGAAGAACCCTTTTCTTTCATCTAAAAACTA